CTTCGTCCAGGTCGCCTAGACAATACGACCGAGTTGCAAAATCTAGGTCAAGCCACTTGAATAAAATCACAAATTGATAAATTGCTAATCAGCATATTTGGCATATGTTTTAGATTTATTGGATTACCATCTCATATGGCCATGAAAGAAAGTAGGCTTTCTACCTTTCGAAGGCACCAAAACGAAGCTAAGAATTATTCGATTTGACTAGCCGATTATCTGGAGTGGGATGTTTGATATGGTGTATTTCGTCACTATCCACTTGCGAGCTCAGCACATACATGCACTAACTGTGAATGCAAACCATCTGCAAATAGGAGCATGTCTATTTTTCAGAGAAAAACCAATAGATAATATGCTACATCTGAAGCCTCCAACTTTCTGGAGTCAGAATATCCGGTCTTCTATTGTGTCTTCTTTTTACCTTTGGGAAATGAAGTAATGCTAGACTAATGGCCTGCTTCTGCCTGCTTCTAGATACACGCCCAGCCAAGCAACGATACTCGGTTCAGGAGACAGTACTTTTTGGATGCGAAGTTTATACCTCCACTAACATTTGGCGACATATTTTAGTCTACTAATTTTGGTTTGGAAGAGGCTTCAGGAGTGCATAAGAATCTGTTTTGTTGTAAGGGTGATTTCGATCTGAAGTTGCAAAATAAGGTTATTTTTGCGCAACGTCAAGTCTCCTTTTTAATCGCTCCTCGAAACCCAAGCCGACTTTCATAAATAGGCGCATCAGTGCTGCCATCATGTGTGAGAGTGTGTGCTGAAACGACTCGAAGAGGCCATCTCACCAGAAGACGACAACAGGCCCTGCATGCTCTGATGCAACTAAATTTTACTGAAGCGTCCATGCTGACTCGGTTCTTGAGGCGCCCTACGTCGGATTTGTCTGTACTACCACTTGACCGACCCGCTCAGAGATGGAGCACACTTTTATGAGTAGTCCGATCTTACGAGTTAGCTTAAACCTGTGTATGCATTAAAAGTTTCAATTTCTGAAAGTATAGAATAACTGGGTTAGTTTATTTTCATGTCCATTTGTACGTGTAGACTTTTAGGCAAGCACTTGTCCGTGCTTATCAACGAGCCATTCGTGAATGTTGTAATCCATACGGACAAAAGCTGACATATTCCGTAGGCAGTCAAGGCTAATCGCTTTTGCTGATTCAGGCAAAGAGTGCATCACGAGTCCATAATCCTAAACTGCTTTCCATTTGACTTTAGCAAATTTCAATGAAGAATAAAACGTATACCATGTAGGATGGATACGAATCCGCCATCATCTTATGGTTAGTTTTATTGGCTTTTTGAAGGAGTGAGCCATTCCTTTAGGGAGAATGTGCTTTGGCTATATTTCATTCAGGGCGATGAAGGACTGGTAGTTGAATTTCTTCACATTGATATGAATAAACCTTACACTTCAGTGCAATTTCACATATCCTTGCTTCCCAAAATGTGTTTTCTCAATCAGAGTGGACTGCAGTTTCGACTTTGCATAGATCATATCATCACCCTCCGCGGTACCCGAACCATGAAAGTGCAGCGTGCAGCCTCTACCAGCTAACCAAAGCAAAGTTGTATTTGCTATAGTAATTTACTGCATTAATCATTTTTCGTTTGAAAGTAGGGTTTCAAGACTACAAAGAAATGAGATATATGAGATGTAATCACTCTACATTGTTTGAGGTAGTTGACTTTTCCCACAGTGAAATTCCAGTGAATTTCACATATATCTTCCTCCTTCTGTTACCAAAGGGCACTCATGACAATGTGGTTTAGTGGTTTACTTGACGAGATTATACGCTGAACTGTCACTGTTCAAGTCCCGCTGGGGGTGAAGATGAGACGCATGCGAGTTCGAAATTACAGTCGAACCTGGATGAGAAGACCTTTTGGGAAGCACGAATATGTGAAATTGAATGCAAGTGTACGTTCCACTCATATCATTGTGGAAAAATTTAACTACCACTACCTCATCACCCTAAATGAGATAGGGTGAATACATCTAATATGTCTGATTTACTAGTCATATTATAAACGAAATATATAGAACGATGTTTGTCAAGTGATAGACTCGATTAAAAACCTGACATTACAGGCCGTTTTTATAGCTTTTGCAACCTCTAAATTCATGTAAATTAACCTCTTATTACTAATGATGTCTGTCACTTTGCTCTTTTCCTATAAAATACATGCACGCTATTCCCTGGACAAATTCTAGCACGATTCGCGGTACTTCAAGTACAGACATGAGTGGCCCTTCTCCGATCTATGGGCAAATAAACGAGACCGGCGAAATGCTGATGGGCCAAGATGGCAAACAGGTGAGGAGGGAGAGTGACAAACGCATCTCCGCACCCTCCGGCTCAAGGCGCAAGCGACTGATGCACAAGCTTCGCTGCAATGGCTCCAAGCGGTACTATCTGGCTTGGCTGTGCTCACTTGGCTTCATGATCAGTTTCGGTATCCGATGCAACATGAGTTGGGTAATGCTGGCCATGCGACAGATCACGAACCACACAATCCAGATCAGCGTGCATGCACATCAAGCGAGTCGTCAGTCCATGGTGACCGTCGGCCATGCCTTGAATGCCTCACATGCTCTCCGCCATTCCAGCCTCGTCAAGACTGCTAGCCATTACACCAATGAGCCAGGTCTAATCAACGTAACTCAGGTAGGACGACACCCGAATCTTCGAATCCCATTAAAAGCGTAAAGATGCTTCAGATGATTGCAGAAAGTAGTTGCTAACTGGAACTCGGTTGCCAAGGCTACTAGATAAAGTTTTAGTTGAATAAAAGTTTACTGACTTATTGAAGAGTAACCAATGAAACTTGTTTTCCCGTGAATTCCAACCAAAATGTATGTCTGAATAGACACATTTGAGCTGAGGACCCGCAGACAATTCCCTTCCCATATATGAATAGAAGCTGGACTTTGAAGAATTTCTGTCCTTTTTGAAGGCAAAGCAGGTTAGAAGGAATTGGCGAATTGATTTCATCTGAAACCAAGGGGAAATACCACTGAAAGAGTGAAGTCTGATGGATTGTGTAAAGAAGTTCTCTGTTCACCGTCATGCTACACTGTTAAACTTTGTGCCAAGCCTTCAGACATTATCTTACGAAATAGGGCAAACGATATACCAAACATTTTCTCTTTGTTCAGAATAGTTTTGGTGCTCTTTCATAGAGTATGTATTCTTGCACTGAGGATAAATCTTAAGGCGGTACAGACAAAAGCTTAGCACAGATTGTTCAGGCTTGCAAGACTGTGAGCCGAGGAATTGTTCACACAATCCAATAGTTTTCACTCCGCGACAATCCTCCTTCCGTTTTCGACGAGACGATTTCACCAATTCCTTCCGGTCAACTTATCTTTCGAAATCGAATGTCATGTCAACATGTTTTCTACTTACTCTGAATATGGTCGGCTTTGCATTCAGACGTTAACACGCACACAGTATAGGAGATTAGACTAATCTATTCCATGTCCATCTATATCTAAATATTTTTTTCGTTATGAGTGTATATGTTATGTAGGACAAAGCCGATAAATCTTCTTGACTCATATTGGTGCATCTTTCGTTTCGCTTGAAGAGGCGAATGAAGTGGAGTCGTAACTTGGCCTCACCGGAAGTTGTAGGCAGATTGCCGTGGAGCTGTGATTGTAGATTTGTGCGAATAAGTCCTCCGCACATCGCTTTGCGACCCCAATTAATCATTACTAAGCTTTCATCCGTCCTATGAAGGACATCCTCAGCGCAGGAAACTATGCTTTACGATAATTCTTCAAGTAACTTCCATT